TTCAAGAAAATAGCTTGGCCTATGTACAGTATCAGGCATGATAGCCGTAATAAAAACAGCAACAGAAATCTTGTGAGGATATTTCTCCATTGCAAAAGCCATTCATGCCACCAACTAGAACTACCTTTTCGTGTGGTGGAATGGACTCCATTACCTCGAATAATGGCTGTGTATAGTCGGAAAATGTGCGAAGCTCATCTAGTTTTTTTGGGTTGATGCCGGAGGCTGCAAGGTCAATCGCCGTGATGCGGTGGCCCTCCGCCTCCAGCAGGGATTGTAGCCTGTACCAGCACCAAGCTCCATGGCAAACACCATGTACTAGAACAAAATGCTTTTGTTGCTTTTTACCTTCCATTTTTCTTTTGCTTAATTAGTATATTTCTTATATATCCAGACATATATCTGTATATATATAGAGCTGTGGTTGTGGTTCCTTGTAAAAATTAAAATTGTTAATTATTAAGGATTTTTCATGCACGTTTTTTTTTTCTGTATTTGTTAGTGTGGTCCAAGTTCATGGCTACTTTATAGCACTGATTGGTTCTGTGTGAATTTGTATAACAACTCAGATGTGTGGTCCAAGTGATTTGTTATTTGAAAATTCTCTAAAATGGATGTAAATTTAATCTTTTCTTCTTCCACCGAAATGGAGATATTTATTCATATTATTACTTTATTATTCTAATCTGAACACTTTTCTGGTTTGTTTGACGCCTTTTTAGCACTTTTTAAACATGGTTAGTAGTGTTTTCTGATGAACTCTTATTGTTGGTTCTCATCTAATCGAATTTGGATATTTCTTTTGGCATATGTTGACACTGTTCACAATTGATGAAACGAAAAATAAAATAGAATAAAATAATATCAAGCTGTGATGAATAGTCACAGAGATTTTTTTTCAGCTAATCAGACTGTCAATAGACCATCACATGGTGACTATTAGCATTTATCTTCAAGAGCTCGTTCACAAAATGGCCCCCACTAGTGGCACACTGGCTTGTTCATTAGTTAGAACAATTACTGAATTTGAAAGATCTAATCCGACATTTTGCGCCACCCAACTAGATCAATTGATTGTCTCTCATGAATCTTCCCCCACCGTGATAATTAGTGTAACCTTCACCCCTTTTTAGCTAGTTGCTGGATAAGTGATTAAATCCCTGGTCAATATCTCAATGCCTTGAGAAATAAAGTGAAATAATTGGGGAACGTATATTAGCAATATGAAACCTGTAGTAGGCACGATCATAACTTCAAATGATTTTTTAGTGGATAGTTAAATCTGAGCTCTGTAGTTCAATGTGATCATATGGGCTGTAAAATAGAAAATAAGGTTGAAAATTAATGTATAATTAGGAAATGCATTTTGGTCATACTACGTTGTTCCGAGAATTCAACGTAATCAACGGCGTAAGAACAATAAGTCAAGGATGTAATTATTGTTAATATATAGTTTCGGTAATCTTAATTAGACTAAGAGTGTAATTTCGTTGTTTTAAAAGAACCCGATTCATAAATTAGTTTCGGTAATCTTAATTAGACTAAGAGTGTAATTTCGATGTATTCATCACAGTAATTTATTGGAGTTTATTTTAATTGAGTCCTATTTGGTCCATCCAATGGCTTTGTAATAAAAATCGGAGTAAATTTTTAGTGCTATAATTTATTATTAACTGTAAAAGGATTAACTAATTAAATCGGAACGTATCAAGCATGTGCCATTAATATATGAGAGACTTTGGTTTGGATTAGAACTAAAATGAAGAGTCCTTTTAGATTAGTATCTTTATCCAAGGAAAAGAAAGAGTTATTTTCAGATTGTGATATTTTCTTCTCTAAGTGAGATCTATATTATAAATAGGCACTAGTATTGAGGTTTAATTATAGTTCAACTAATGAATTCTTGTTGTGCTCACACGTATAATTTCTCTATAATTTTGAGTTGTTGAAGAACATCAGAGAAGGCCAAAATGTTCGAAGATAAATCAAGAAGATCAAATACGAAGGAAACTTGAAGGTGGAATCAAGACTATCTAAAGATTGAAGGAATATTTTTTAACACACACTACAAAGGTAATTCCTAAAATACATATATGTTTATCAATCTTCCAAAATTATTATATTCTTGTCGCTACATGATGTAATAAAATTTTATTTTCTCCGACAATCGGTATCAGAGCCATTGATTATGATATTATTTCAAGTTTCAAAAATTAAATATTTTTTGTTTATGCAAGTATTAGAAAGTGCACTATTATGATTATGTGATTTATTTTGTTATTAGATTAATGATGTTTTGTTGAACGAATTTATCGCCTTAGAATTTATCGTTTTAGTGATGGGGAACTCTTGCGATTTCTCCTTTTTAGGCTCCAACAGTAGATTTCAGCTATTGATGCAAAAGGTGTCTAAGATTTTCGGGGAAAGATCAGAGCAATGGACATACGGCCGGGTTGTAAAAAAAACCCAATTTTAATTTATTGTAATGTTGGCCAAAGATTTAACTAGAATGTTAAGACCAAATTATATAATTGGCAAGTTCTAAAATTTTAATTGCAATTTCCATAATCAAAATGATGTCATAATTGAATTGTATTAGGAGTTTATTAAGTTGTAATCAAAGTCAAAATTGGAGTTATTGAGTCCTAATTACAATAAAAATAGGAGTTGGTAGTATAGTACTTGGAGGAGTTAAAGATGTATAAGAAGATCACATGTAATCAATGGAATGCAATTAGAAGTTGCTCTAAATTCCTAGTCATAAGTTGCGATAAATTTTTCACATCGAAAGCATTCATATTTGAAAAACTATTTTTAGAAGAAATGTAGCCCTTGAGTTAGCTTTACAACGCACATTGAATTGTCTCAATCGAACATCGAGGGAGAATGTTCTGATAAAAATACCGACCATCGCTCGAACGGCGTGATCACGGTAAAATTCGATTTTCAAGCTGATTTTGAGTTTATTTTCATCCCAAACACTACCCATTATAAATATACATCCTATAGCACATCCAAAAGTGTGGTTGAATGTTATTTTGATTAAAGAGATCATTCTTTGAAGATCCAAATATTATTACATTGATTCTTTGATTCAACCCCAATATTATTTGTTCATTATTCAACCCAAACATTTTTCCCATATTAGTTGAGCCTTGAATTAAGTCAAGAGAGCATATTTTGAATTCCAAATACATATTCTGCTTTCTTTTGCATCGGCCAAAGATCAAAACATGAAAGAGCCTTGATCAAATCCCAAAAAGCCAAACCCTACATTCTCCAATTTAGAGTTCTAAAACTTGGGAAGAGGCACATGGTGATCCAGCGGAGAGAAAAGTGGCTCAGAGTTTTTGGAAGTGTAGGCATGCACAACCGACGGAGTTCCTCTATAATTTACAAGTTAGGTGGCCAGAGTCGTACTAATTGTAAGCTAACTTTTCTTGTTGATCATTTAATGACAAGTTTTACTCTGAGGTTTTTTTTTTAAATCTAATTAGGGATTTTCCTCCGTGATCAATTTGGTGTTCTTTATTCTTTATTTATTTCTTTTGATAGTTATAAATTGATAGACAATTAGGGTTAATTAAATTGGATTAATTATCTTAATCATCTAGAAACAAATTAATAAGTGACTTGTTGCTTCTAATTATTTAATTCCGCATTAGGGTCTAAACTATTTGGGTAAATTTGAAAAAACATAGACCACTACAGTAGGGTCTAAACTATTCGGGTAAATTTGGTTATTTTATTTTATTTATGCACTGTAAATATAAGAACATCAATTTCTTTAAAAATGTTACATTAATCACGTCGATAAAATACAAATAAAATTAAGATATACATAAAAGGGGCTATTTCCTTTAAATTTCTAACAAATTATGTTTTGAATTAGTGCAAGTTTGGTTCATTAATATATATATCAACAAAGACCAGAATGAAACTCAGTGTAACATAGGCATATTCGGCCCAATTGATATGGTTTGATTAATTATTACTAGAATAATGAAGTTTAAGTAATTAAGCATCATTTATATTCTTTAATCTCGAATTACGAGCTATAACCCCTAAAATTAATTATTTAGACAAAGATTTTTTATTCGTAAATGAACTACTAATTTGAGTAACACTAACTTAAAACGAACCAAATATCGAATAATTTATTCGGGTCTGGACAAACTTCAAATGATTAAATTTTGTGAATCAAATTGCTGGAGGAATTTAACATAGGAATCGCTGAAAGAATGGAAACATATAAAAATAAATAAATTGTCCCTTACTATAACCCTGCTATATAATTAAAGATTTAATAATTTAAAGATTTTTCTCTGGTCTAAACTAATCTCAAGTAGAACATGAAACATAAACTAAATATTCAAATTGCTGGGAACATGTAATCATCTAAGCATCAAGATCAATACCCATTTTATTTAAACGACTCATGATATATATATATTCGATTCACACCTCACGCATTATATTAAAAGGTTTTTGATTGGGACCTCGGACTCTTGGGCTTTCTTGATTCTAATAATAATTATTTTTTTAATCATTTTCGGAATTATTTAATGGGTCAACTAGCCAGTAAAATATGATCGTTTTAACTGTCCAGTATTAACAACTCATTACCACTAGACATAAAAATTGCAAATAATACTAGATCATGGTAGAAGCAGTTACATCTGCCTATATAAACACACATCTGGGCATTAGAAAATTATTACAAATACGAAATTGTATCTTCTTATTCACTCAATTTTATATATTTTTTAGAGTATACTTGAGAGTTCTGAAAACCATTTGTGATTGCTGCACAATTGGTTTATTTGATCGTTGTATCCTGGAGATGATTGTCCACAGAGGTCGCAGCAGTTATCGACGGACAATTTCGCTTTAGAACATCGTGCTGTCACGAGACTCGATCTATTGATAAGTTTCATATTTTTGGAGTACACTTGAGAGTTCTGAAAACCTTTTGTGATTGCTGCACATTTGGTTTATTTGATCGTTGTATCCTGGAGGTGATTGTCCACAGAGGTCGCAACAGTTATCGACGAGAAATTTCGCTTTAGAATATCGTGCTGTCACGAGACTCTATCAGTCGATAAGTTTTATTTCTGCACTTTCCTGTATTGCAACTAGTAATACTTTTAACAAGCTAAAGCGAAATTCACGTTTTTAATTAGTTGACATGTCTACAGTAGATATATATATATGTTCCTAAGTATTCTGAAAAGCCTAAATTATTTGATGGAAAGAATTTTAAGAGATGGCTAAAGAAGTTGCGATTTTATTTGACAACTTAAAAGATGTTGATGCTGTTGAATCTGTTAAACCCGTTTTTGAAATTGTTGATAA